CCCCATCCCGCTGTCCATCAGTCCAGCACTGCCCATTGCAGAGCGGACAATCACGGTGCTGCCCATGTCCCTGCCCATCCCAGCTCGGTGCCAGCCAGGATTTGACCCCAGGAAGGACAGGAACACTCGGGGCACGCACGAGGAGAAGAGCCKGGTGCCATCCAGCAGGGAGCAGTTGTAGTGGTAGCGGACGAAGTCGCGGTCGCGGGTGGTGACGTTGCAGCCCTCGGGCCGGAACACGGTCTGGATCTCCACCGGGTCTGCGGGGTTGTGGAAGTCGATGACGTGGACRTCAAAGATGAGCACGGCTGAGCCGGGAATTTTTTCTCCTGGAAGAGGAGGATGAGGAGAGCTGCTGCAGGGCGGGTAAAGCCTTTCCCTGCTTCTTCCCACCGCCCTTGGTGTGCCCAGCCCRCAGAGCCCTCCGCACGGTCACCTGCGCCGTTCTCCCCGTAAGCCAGGTGTGGGGGGATGACCACTCGCCGCTGCTCCCCCATGCAGACCCCCTGCAGGCCCTGGTCCATGCCGGGGATGATGTAGCCCTTCCCGATGTAGGTGTTGTAGGTCTGATTGCGGGAGTAACTGCAGTGAGAGAACCCACGGCGCCGTCAATCCCCCCCACACGGCAACCCACACCCCTCCTCCCAGCCTCTCCTGCTCCTCCAGCAACCTAACCTTGCTCCTAGGGATGCAACAAACAGATTCCACCCTTTTTAGCTTATTTCATGCCCACTGTCCCCTCTCCAGCCTTTCTTTGCTGCTGTGGGGCAGGAGAGGACCTCGGGGTGCTTCCTCCCACACCTGGAGTCAAAGAGCGTCCCATCCATGAGTGTCCCATTGTAGTGGTAGCGGACAAAGTCCCCGGTCACAGCCCGGCGCTTGCAGGATTTGGGCACCTCCAGGTGCTCCAGGAAGACACCGTCCTTGGGATTGTGGAAATCCACCAGCAGCACGCTGAACACCAGCGATGCCTGCGGTGGGATCACCGTCCCTGGGAGAGGACACGGCTCAGCCTGAGCGTGGGTCCTTCTGCACCAGGGGGGCTCTGCTCAGAGCTGGSAGGGAAGGGGCTGGCACTGGGGTAGTGCCTGGCTCACCGTAGCCCTTCTCCCCGTAGGCCAGGAACGGGGGGATGATGATGCTCCTCTTCTCCCCAGCACACATGCCCAGCAGCCCCTGGTCCATGCCCTTGATCAGCCACCCCGTGCCCACGTAGGTGTCGTAGGTGCTGCCCTTGCTGTAGCTGGTGGTGGAGAATGAGGGTGGGGATGGTTCTGAGGCCACACCAGCGGCCCCAGCCAGAGGGGCTGTGCCAGAGGCTGGTTTKGGGCTCATGGAGCTGCAGCAGGGAGCGGGTGAGGCTGCTCTRTGTGCATGCCCAGTGTCCCTGGGTCCCAGCCACTCCTGGTGGCCCAATGTCAAGGCAGAGGGTGCACCCCAGCCCCGTGTCCTGAGGCCAGGGTGCCATCAACACCCTCCCCAGATCTCACCCACTGAGCTGGGCTGGAGTCCAGCAGCTCTAGGGCTCCCTGCTGCTTCCAAATCCAAATTTTGCATATCAGCCTCCCGTACCTGGAGTCGAAGGGGGTCCCATCCAGCAGTGTGCCATTGTAGTGGTACCGCACAAAGTCCGAGTTCTCCACCGTGCGGTTGCAGCGCTCRGGTTTGGACAGGGTGGTGATCTGCAGCTTGTCGTTCTTGTTCCAGATGTCCAGCATGACCACGTCRAAGTACAGGGTGGCATCAGGGGGGATCAGCCCCGCTAAAGGGGCAGCAGCAAGGACAGAGCGCCTTAAGCATGACCAGCACAGAGTCCAGGCCAGCCTCAGGCTCTGCCCCTGAAACCTCCCCTGAGCCCAGCGCTGCTCAGGGCTACTGGACACCCATGCCAGCCCCTGGGAAAGCAGCAGGGTCCAGCTGGGGGCAGGACCCCTCATTCCCTGGCCCTGGCCATGGAGCCCCCCTCAGTCCCCATCTGCCGGGGTGCACTGGAGCCCTGTCCTTTCTTACACCATCCCTGGGGGTTTCTCTCCCTCAGCCCCCCGTGGCACAGCCCCTTACCCACGCCGATGCTGCCGTAGCCCAGGTGGGGTGGCACGATGAGGTGACGCCGCTCGTTGACGCACATGCCCTGCAGCCCCCGGTCCATGCCCGTGATCAGCCGCCCGACGCCCACCACACCGGCCACCGTGGCCCCTCGGTCATAGCTGGGGCAGAGGGACACACCCRTCAGAGGTGAGGAGAAGGAAGAAGCTCCCAAAGCTGCCAGTGCTGGAGGGCAGAGCGGAGGGACAGGCCCCCCCAGCTCACAAACGCAGCCCACAGCTCAAAAACATCAATCCTGGTGGGCTCAGTCCTGTGCTGATGGAGGAAGCTGGTCCTTGGGACACTGGTCAGGACTTCAGTCTCACCCTGAACCCCTAGGAACCATCCACACCCTCCCCAGACCTCACCCACTAGGCTGGGTGAGAAGCTGCTGCTTCCAAATCATTTTGTGCATCAGCTTTATGCAGTGAGGAGGAAAGACAATGTCCCRGCCTCATTTTTAAACTGCAAATTTGCTTTTATTTTTAATTCTTAAAACACTCCAAGAAACTATTGGGGGCAGCAGATATCCTCCTGGCAGAAAATTCTTTTAGCAGCGAATGTCCCCAGCAGTTACTTTCTTCCCCATTTATGCTCACAAGAAAGGTAAGACACACCAAACTGTGAACCCCTTTGCTTTCCAGAGCTCCAAAAAACACTTGGCTGGGAATTTTTTATTGCAACATGGCCCCAGTTGTTTCTGTGTCCCTGGCTGTCCCTGCTCACGGTGCTCACGGTGCTGCAAATGAGGGGTTGCCCCAACTCCAGCCCTGAGTCCCAGGCAGCAGGAGCAGATCAGGGACAGTGCAGAGGCCGAGGGACACTGAGCCCGGCAGAGCAAAGCCTCTGGGATAATGAAAGGTTTCACTGCTGCCACGTCTCAAAGCGCCTTAAGCGTTTTCCTGCCATGCAGCTCCGTGTTCCCGAGTGCACAGCGTCCCACTCAGGGCCAAATCGTGCCTGTGCCCAGCACAGGCTTCCCCGCAGCACTGCGGAGGGGATGCAGGCTCCATGAAGGGCTGGAACTGGAGGGGCAGCCCGGGCAGGGGCTGCGGGAATGGGGAGCAACCTGGGCTGGGGGCTCGCTTCAGGCTTTCCCCCATGCTGACACGTGTACAAGGCTCCCCGGTTGTCTGTGTCTGCCCCTGCACCCACAAAAAGCCCTCCTCGGGGTCAAAGCTGGGGGGTCTGAGCATTGTYTGGCACACGCTCTGGCCCGGCTGCCCCTGCCCCGGGGCTGGGGGACACATGCGGGGGTCCCCACATCTGCCTGCCTGCCCCGGGATGCGGGCTGGGGGCTGRGGGAGGCATGCAGGGTCCCGCCGCAGCGCATGCAGCCGGCACAGAGCCGCGGGCGATACCTGGAGTCAAACTTTTTGCCATCTTTAAAGGTCCCATTGTAGTGGTAGCGAATGAAATCCCCCATCTGCGCCTCCCGCAGGCAGATTTTGGGTATATAGTATCTGTCTATCACCACGTCTTCTAGGGGGCCGGGGTCGCCCAGCGCCGGGGCCCCCAGGATGCCCAGGAGGAGGAGGAGGAGGAGGCAGCGGCTGCCCGGGGCCATGGCCATGGCGCTGGGGCTGAGGCGGCGGAAGGGCCCGGCAGGGAGAAGGAGGAGGAGGAGGGCGGGGGGTTCAGGACGCCCCTTTCCTGCCCGGGACGCCCCTTGCCTTCCCTTCCCTTCCCCTCCGCCCGCCCAGCCCGGCCCTCTCGGAATTTTTGTAGACGTGTCCGGCCCCGCCGCGCTCCCCCCGCGCTCCCCCTCCCGAGAGCTGACACCGCGGCAGAGAACCATCCACGGCGGGAGGGGTTATTCTTTTTCCCTCTTTTGTTTTTCCTCTTATTTTTTCCCCTCCTTTTTTTGATTTCTCTTCTTCCCCTCTCCCCGCTTTTCCTCTTCTTTTTACTCTCCCCTTATTTTTTTTTGTTTTCCCTCACATTATTTCCTCTTTGTCTTTTTGGTATTTTTTTTTTTTCTTCCTTGGGTAATTCCTCCTTCGAAAAAAAAAGCTGACGGAGGCATTGGGGAGCGGCTGTGCGGCTGCAGGCCCGGGCCGGGCCCAGGTCCTAGCGCTGATGTGCCTCCTCTTCCTCCTCTTCCTCCTCCTTCTCCTCCTCCTCYTCCTCCTCCTGCYGCTGCCAGCTCATTGCACCCGGCCCACGATGCTGCTGCTCAGTCCCAGCAGTTCGGGAGAGTAAATAAAAGGAATGAAGTGTTTTAATAACGAGTCTGCTGCTGGCAGAGCAGACTGAATGGTGATGACTAAAAACGTGAAACTCTCCTAGCAGTGCTTCCCAGCCAAACACAGCTCCAAACGCACATGRAGGTGTTGCCCAAACACCCCTGTTCCCCCGAATCCACCCCAGGTCCTGTGGAAAGAGCCTTTGGCAAGCATCAGGTGGGAAATGCAACAGGCTGTGAACCCAAACTCAAACCCCAACCCAGCTCCTCTGAGGCTCAGTGCTACCGGTGAGAGCTCCATCAGCTCTGATCCGGGGTGCTCTGCAGCCCCCCAACACCGGGCTGAGCAACTCCAGCACTGCTTGGATTAGCCTGAGAGGACTCAGGGCTGTCCCCATGGCACCGGGTCAGCGCCTCACTCSGCAGCAAGTGAGTGCTGACAGGGGTGGTGGCACCACCAACAGCCTCTGCTCCTCARGGAGAAACCTCAGCAGTGCCCTGGCTGCTGCCCCACGCTGTGACATCCCTCAGTGCCACCGTCCAGCCAGCGATAAAGCGTTGGGTTTGAGCCGGGGCCAGTGTGGCCGTACCGAGGCCTGGCATGGGACAGCTCTGGGGCTGTCCGGGATCTGGCACAGGGCGTGTGGCCTCGGGCTTGGCACCGGCCAGCGGC